CTTGTAGAAATTTCGGCAGCGCTTCCCGTAGGAAAAGTAGCTTTCCAAAATTTATACAAAAATAAATTCAAAATCCAAGAATAACTCTGACTTCTCGAGGTCCAATTTTGTCTAACTCTCTAAATTAACAAAAAAATGGGCAGCACTCCTTTTAAAAAAGGAGACTTCCCATATTTTTACTACCCATATATAAAATTTAGACAAGTTGAACTTTGAGAAGTCAAAGCTTGACTAACTTCTTGGTTTCGTAGAAATTTCGGCAGCGCTTCTCGTAAAGAAAGTAGCTTATCAGGGTTTTTACAAGACCAAGTATAACAAATGATCCCAGAAAATGCAAGAATTGACCTAAGTAAAAGAAAGGTGGCTTACAAAATGCAGAAATTGAACTAACTCCTATAGCTCTAGCACGTGGCGAGCATTTAGCAACTACCTATCAAACTGAAACTCGGACTAAGTAGTAATCTCACTCAGCCACATGCAAGGTCAAACCACAATGGTCAGTACTTTCACCAGCCCAAAGTCAACTTGGTTAAACAATAGTTCGTCGTCTTTCAATGATTTATCCCTTATACCCAGCTTACATCAGGCGTAAAGCTAGACCACCCACTCTTATGGGAACCTATCTAGCTCAGCCATAGAGTATACACAAACACAGGGCACTACAACTTTTCTCTTCTTTAGGCATACGACTAGGCTATCCAGCCTAGTCGCCCTAAACTGTTTAAATATCCAGGTTATATATAATTATCTGCATTTAATCTTTTAAGGTAACATATGATTGAACCGATCATCTTAGATCAAGGTTCAGCATGACCTTTCTTACCACAAGTTTATTCTTAGTTTATACTCTTTTCAGTTTGTGATAAGCTATTGTCAGACCACCCATACTTATGGGACCGTGTCTGACTAGCCTGTTCATAGGTAAAATAGTAGTAAAATATAGTCATAACCTTTTGGTTTCAGCATGTGCTTGGCATTGGACCAAGACCACCCAAACTTATGGAACATGTCTAGTCTTCCGCCCGATCTATTTCCTTAATAGTAAAGCAGGAAAAGGTTGGGCCACCCAAACTTATGGGACAGTGCTCAAACCCCCTCGTTCAAAACCAAAAGAAACTGGGAAAACCCAAAATAAGCAAGGCAACCAAGCCACCCAAGCTTATGGGTCAGTGCTTGGTCCCCAAAAAGTCAACCACAGATAGCCCTCGCACGTGAAACCAACCAAACCACCCAAACTTATGGAATATGTTTGATCCTCCAGGCAACTCAAAAATAAACATAGCATTGCGTCTCCCTAAACTTATGGAGACTTGCCCAGTCTTTGATTAACCCAGTTAGACACAAGCGATACTGCCTTCCTCCCATCCTTCCACTAGATGCAATCCCTTCCCACAATCTGCTTTCAGTTAGACAACAAAACTGAAACTGCAACTTGCAGAATCAATCCTTTATTTAAGTCTGGTTTGTCCTGAAAGTCAAACTGAAAGTCAAAGTAAGGATGCAGACAATATACTCAGTCAACCATAGCAAGAATTACAGATAGGGGTTATAACAGGGTTTATAAAGGGAAAACAATGATTACCTCTCAGTTCCCTGACTCCAGAACTCCTCCTGAGTTCTGGTAGAGCTCCCGCAATCGGTGGGCTGACTCCCCACAGAGTCTTGCTGCAGTCCTACGGGTTGCAATCCCGCCTGCCGCCTTCCTCTCGTAACCAGGATTAGACTTAGATTAAAAAGGGCAGGAGGGGTTTCATACTCTCGAGATACAGGAGGCGGACTGACTCAACTCCCAGGAGAGGGCCTTGAAATCTCGATACGCGTGAGGGCCCCGCAATGGCGGCCAAGCCGCACTATGCTAGTCACCTCGCAACCAAACGCAAAAAAAATGGCACTCTCACGAACCTCAAGGCCGCAGCGGTAACCCCCTTGGAGAGCTTGATCACTATTCCTAGTCGCAATCCCACTACCTCAGGCCAAACAACTGTCATCCAGCCTAGAAAGCATTCAAATAGTGCACACTGCATGCAGAATGTTGCAAAACTCAACAAACCTCCACGTGTATGGTTAACACATGCGGCAACATGGCACACCCAATACTGCTCAGCGTGTGCGCAACAAACATACTCAAGACTCAACCATGCATGGTGCTCTGCGCAGCAGCTCGCCGTATCATGCAGCAGCAACCCAATGACCAATTTAACTGAAATAAACAGTCAAGGCCCAATAATCCGTAGTAACCACAACAACCGAAGTAATACACACGCAGCCAAAGCGAGTCAGCCAAACGCACAACAACAGTGCGGCTAAGCCTGGTCATGCGATCAGCACCACAACACTGTCCGCCAAAGCAACCAGCAACAATCCTCCCGCTAACAAGTAAACCTCTAAGTCCTGCTGTTGTACCCTTGCTACCCCCGTCTGCAGGTAAAGGGCACAATGGTCGATCGAAAATCTGCAGTCCCTTTGTTTTTTTTGGTGCATGAGCCGTTGGGTGAGCAACACACCGGTCAATCAATATGACTCCTCCCTCTCCGCTTGCTCGTTGCACCTTCGTTTGGCAGCGCACAACGTACCAGCCAAAAGGTAAGCTTTCAACCTTCGTGACTCGCTACCCCGATTTAGTGGGATCAACACACACCAGCCTACAGGTAAGACTTCATGTCCCGTGGCTGGTTTCTCTTTCTCCACTGCTGCCAATGGAATGGGCAACGCACAGACTAACAAGTAGTTTGTACTCTCGTGCTGATCCGCTACTTCAATAGGTAGGCCTTTGATCCCTGTGGTTGTGCCCGGATCCGCTGTAGAACAGTCGCTTTCAGCAGCTGCACTCAGGCCGCATTAGCCACCTGCAAAATCAGAATGAAGGATACAGTTACCCTGGCTTGCCTGCCGCTCGCTAACCTCTCCTGCCTGCCACTTCTTCCCCACATATCCGGCCAACCGCTCGCGGAAAGGAGGCAAACGCCAAGCTACTGAGGAAGAGAGTCACCACTAGCAAAGACATTACCACCACCACAGCCGAGACTGCCACTATTCCCACCAGGATCAATACCACTTCAAACGGAATCCGAACGCCACAGTCGGAAGCACATATTCAAACTCAATCACCGAAATCCCGTTCACGATGAAGACGGGCATGTGCACTGCGATTCCCAGTTCTAACGCGCGGATGTGATGATACTCATTGGGCGCTCACACTTATTGCTAGTAGTCGGCTAGCTACGTTGGCACTTCGTCAACCTGCACCACCTCTGCGCGCAGCACTTGACCTCTGCAGCGTCGAGATTGGTCATTCGGCCTTACCATCGATCCAGTGGTCAGAATCATAATGAATCTTCCACAAAAATATGGACAGATTCATTCTCTTTTCATAGTAAATATTCTCTCTCTTCCCACACGCAGCTCATACCACTTGAGTCGGTCAAACCGTCAGCCCGTTCGGAATTCTGACGTGACCATTCAGCTTGGAATGGTCAAAACCTATTACTGAGCATTTCAGATTGGCAGATTCGGTCAAGGAACGACTGAGAAATGACACTATGGCACTCCCTTCCTCCATATCCTGCTTCTACCATCCCTCAGCGCAACTCTTTTTCTCACTAGCTCCTTCCCTACTAACCCTCTATTAAAACTGCCCTCAAAATCGGGCTCGCCCAACATCAAAACCCCAACTTAGCTTCTTTTCCCGCTCGATTCCACCGAGAATTGAGTGAGTGATCCCTTCTCACTCCCGCCATAGCCAACTCCCACCCACTCTCCGCACAGTCCCTTTTCCTTTTAACTCCTATCTCACTAACTTAGGACCAAAACTGAGTGCAAATTTGAATCCGCCCTAGCCAAAAATGTTGGAATAACATTCTCCCCCACCCGATATGCTCGAGGATCGAGGGAGATATCCGTTCTCCCTTCACACTGTCTTATTCCTTCCTCCCATCACCGCGCAGCTCCGGTTTCGTGCATTGACCAACTCGCTTTCCCATTGCCAATTCTAACCGCGCCATTCAACTCGCGGCAACTCTTAACACCGAGTTTGCATCCTGGTTCGCCTGATTCCCTCAAGGATCGAGCAAACTGCTCGATCTCCAGCTTGCCATGTCCATTCCTTCGATTGTCTTCCACCTTTGAGTGTATCCGGCGCAAAACCGCGCCAGATCCATTCCTTTTGTCCTCTCGTTCCTTGACAGTCGGAGCCGTTCGATGGCTCAGAGGGGGAAAAAATACAAAACAAAAAGGATTCAATCGAGAGCAGCACAAAATCACAACTCCACAGCATTTTACAACAACAAACCAGGCTCCTTACAAAGGATTCAGTCGACAGCAGCAGTGCAGCACAGAAAAAAAAAACAAAAAAAACTCCATTATAGTCTCACTGTCCCGACGTCCATGAAGTCATCGAAAACATAGTCCACCCCGGACATGGATGAAAGAGACGAGGAGGAAGAAGCAGATGATGAAGAAGTGGAAGAGGAGGGAGCAGTAGAAGAAGAAGAAGAAGAAGAAGAAGAAGAAGAAGAATGTTTCACTCCCTCCCTCCCTCCCTCTCTCTCTCTCTCTCTCTCTCTCTCTCTCTCTCTCTCTCTCTCTCTCTCTCTCTCTCTCTCTCATTCGCTGCTGCTACTCGTGCCTGTCTCCTCCGCGTCACTCGACGATGTGTCAGAGGAGGACGACGCGTCACTCGACGACGACACGTCGGTCGATGACCTCGGCCGCGCTTCCGCTTCCTCTGCCGAAGACGAAGTGCTGCTGCTTGCGGATTCATCATCCTCTTGCACACACTTCCTCCTCTTTGTGGTGGCTTTCTTTAGAACTTTTTGTGCCTTCCTCTTCTTTGCCTGCCGAACAACAGCACGCTTCTCTTGCAAGGTCGCCGGCGGTGTGACTGTCCTGCGTCCCTTGCCTCGTCCACCTTCTCTCGACGGTTCCGCTGTCTCCTTCAGCTTGTTCTTCCCTCCTTTCTTCCTGCCCGCCAAACTCTTCACTTGGCGCACCAAACTCGCGTTGATTTCGGGCGGCGACACTGGCTCACGTTGTGCAGCTGCATCTTGTGGGTGGTCAAGTCCAGCAGCTCGGGTCCTCCTCCTGTACACCATGCCCTACGATCCATCCCCGGCCTGTATAGGAGTGTCCTCGCTCAACTGTAGAGTGGGAGGGGTCGGTCCAGTGAATCTGGCCCAATCAGGAGTCTGTCCCTCGGAATCACTCCTCATGGGGGACATCGCAGCCAGGTGTTTCTGGAAGTCTGTCTTGGAGCCTCTCGCAGCAATGGGGGCCACATGTTGCAACAAGGAGGCGAATCTGTCAGCCAGCAGCAACCCTGGGTCCGGAGTGGAGAACACATCGCCTCCGGTGCAATGGGTGTCCTCCGTTGCTCCAGGGACCGGGTCGTCCTTGTCCGCACCTGTGTCTCCATCCTCGTGTTCAGCAGCACCGGGAATCAGAACGTCCACAGACACACCAAAGTCTCCAACATCCCCCGCAGCAGCACTGTCCTCGTCAACATCCGTCGATCCTCCGCATGTCGCCCCGCAGCCTGTGCATAGTTCCTCGACCGCAGCTCGCTGGTGAGGAGTGTGTTGCGCGCCCAAGACTGTGCTGGTGCCCTGAACTGAAGCCACACCACCGGCCGCGCAGCTGCGCAGTCGTGTACCGGCACCAGCGTCGCCCATCAATGACACCAAAGCAACCGTCGAAGGCCCGCCGGATGCAGGGCCAACCAAAGGCGTGATGTCAACATCTGTCGCGGAACATGACCCGCCGCCCGACCGCCTGCTAAGCCGCTTGTCTGTGAGCCGCACTTCGAGTAACTCATCATCACAATCGTTGTCGTCTCTGTCGTCCTCCTCCTCATCAACAGCAGCAGCGGTCTTCCCGCGGTCGTCAACCGCGAGACGGCGAGGGCCATAGGAAACATCAAGGAGCCACGCCCCGTCATCCAACCTCTCCTCCTGAATCTCCCGCACGTCGAATCTAGTGCTCTTCGATCTGCGCCCTCGAGATTTCAACCAGTTGGCAGCCCTCCTCTTCACCTCTGCGGGGTTGTACTCCCGTCTTGCATGAAACCGTCGAAAGGAGCGTCGTCCTCAGGTGTCTCCCACTCTAGCTGCTCGGTGTTCACGAATCCCATTTTGGCCTTTGACATGCGCAGCAACTTCTTGTTCCAGTGGATGAAGACGAGCATCTCCAGGTTCTCCGGGCTCAACAGATTCCTCCTCTTCGAGTGAACAAGATCGAACGTGGACCAATTCCTCTTACATGGAGAGGCTGTGGTCCACATGCTAAGCACTTTGACAGCGATCTCCATCAAGGCTGGGTGCCTCTTCCCATAAGTCAACCACCACTGCGCCATAGACACGTGATCGCCCGTCAAAGCCTCCTCAGAGTTCTTCCCAATCCACTCCGGATCCATGTGATGGAAACTCTTAAGGGAGTTCCAACACTCTTTGTACTCCTTTGAATTCTTCGGGTGAACCGAAGCAAAGCGTGTCAAAGTGTTCGCAATCTCCTCGGAATCCAAGTCGTCGAAGAGTAGAGGTGATCGGTGGAGCGGGTGCAACATCCAAGCCGCTGCATGCACAGGTAGAGCCATCATCTGCACACGGTCTTTGACCTTCGCCATCACGAACTGCCTTGTCTCGTGATCCATGGGTAGCACGACCATTCTCTTCTCCAATGTGATGCCCAACGACCACACCTGCATACCCATCCTCCCATCTCTGTCCATGTTCTTCATCAAGGCGTAAACGGGCTCAAGCAAGGTGCATGCCCTGTCCACAGTCAACCACCAACCAGTGTCTCGTATGAGCTCCTTGCACGACCGCGCCCGTGTCGTCGTTGTCCTGTCCCATGGAGTGTCATCGCACCACGGGTAGGAAAAAGTCAACAGCAACACGCCCTCACACTCCCGAAGACGCTGCAGCATGAGGAAGTTTGTGCCAAATCTAGTCTCCCTCGATTGGATCAGCTCCAACGACCTCCCTTCTTTGATGTTCATCTGTGTCCTGTACTCCCTCCCACTTTTTCGAAACATCGCCAACGCCCGCTGATGTCTCTTGATGAAGGTTGTGATCTTCCTGCCCTACGGAATCACCTCCGCGACCCATGACACCGAAGCAATGTCAGACATGAGCAAGTTGCACACATGGCATGTGCACGGCACCCATGGAATGCTTCTAATGGCAGGGTCCTCATGCTCAGCCAAAATCTTCCTGGCAGAAATGTTGACCTGCGCTGAGTCGGTGCAGATGGCGTTGGCCCTATGCACCCCCAACTCCCTTATGACCTCCTCCCACATCCTCGCCAAAGCCGGAGCCGACTTATCCTTCCCCTCCATGTCCACACTCCTCACCATGACCGCCCTCGAATCGCCGGCTGCAATGAAGTTCATGACCGGCCTATTGCTGGTCGTTGTTGTGCCATCCGTCATCAAGGTGAGGCTTGTGACATCCCACGGCTCTCGGATCTTGTCCAAATCATTGTCCACCACTTTGTACTCCGTGGGCAAGGCCTTCGTCCTCAGGTAGTTGTACCCTGGCATTCACAACATCTTCCTCGACCTCGCTGCCAGAGAGAAGGTTAACAATAGTCGTATTTTTCATCACCACTTCAGGACAGCCTTCACCACTTCAAAATGCAGCCTACCTAAACAGTCGTATTTTTCATCACCACTTCAGGACACCTTTCACCACTTCAAGACCATTCAGGTTTGAAAATCCTGCATGGTCCTGAAGTGGTGAAAGCTCCGAAGACCCTGAAAACCACTTGTTTAGGCAGATTGCATCCTCAACTGGTGAAGAGTGGTTTTCATGGTCTTCGGACCTTTCACCACTCGGGACCATTCAGGATTTTCATGCTGCCCAAAACTCTCACTTGACCACTTCAGGACACCCTTCACCACTTCAGGATGCAGCTTGCCTAAACCGGTGGTTTTCAAGGTCTTCAGACCTTTCACCACTTCAAGACCATTCATGGTTTTTAGACTGCCCAAAACTCTCACTTCAGAATTTTCATTCCTGAATTTTCAGCTACCCGATAACCGCTTGTGCGCTGCCAGGTTCATGCCTTTCCAAGTTCTTGTAGGAATCTGAGCGCGCGACATTGAAGGCGATGGCATTCTCAAAGAAGAACGAAGCAACCCCCTGGTCGAACTCCTTTTGCAGCTCATCCACCACGTAACTTGTCATGGACGACTGCTGCACACTCGATGGAGGTCGCGGAGGGCGAGCGGCAGCCAGAACGGGACCCCGCAGGTGGTCAGCAATCTCCGACGGGAGGTCAGGCCCCCTGGAATCCGGAGCGGCTGTATAGGCAACAAAATCTGCCCTCTCCCGCCGTTGAACAGATGTCGAATCATAACCGACACCACTGCCTTGTCCCCCCGTTGAACCTGTGTCACGCCCACTGTCTCCTCCTGCCGACGACGTACCGGGCTCCCCTAATGCACCAGCTTCATCACCCAATGCAAGATCCTGCGGATCCTCAGCATCTGCTGGACGGCCCTGCAAAGCATAACACTCGTTCAATTTCGTCATCAGCGCAGGGAACAATTTCACCTTTGGGTGCTTGCTTCGAATCACAGAAAGAATCTCACCGGTGGTATGGGGACAGCGGGCATTGCCCGACGGTTGGGTGTGGTGATTCACGACTTTGCTGAGCGTGCCGATGAACTCTTTGTTGCACAGACTGCAACGCAACCTCCACGAGTTGTGCGACATGTCGGTCGTCACCCTCTGGCCTCTCTCCGCCCATTTCCAAATCTCCGATTGGCTGAGCGTCCTTTCTCTGTTTGCACCAGTCTCAGGCTCGAATGATACTCGATTGCCCGCCATGGTCGTCGCAGTCGAGGTGGGTGGTTGGTAGGGAGAAGAAGAAGAAGAAGAAGAAGAAGAGGTGGGAGGTATGTGCCCGCTGCCCAATGAATTTCCAAAAAAAAAAAAAAAACGGAGGTGGGTGATGGTAGGAGGAAGAAGAAGAAGAAGAAGAAGGGGTGGGAGGTGTGTGCCCACTACCTGACGAATTTCCGGAAAAAAAAAAAAACAAAAAAAAAACGAAGGTGGGTGATGGTAGGAGGAGGAGGAAGAAGAAGAAGAAGAAGAAGAAGAAGACGATGGAGAGAAGATGGAGATGAAGAAGAAGAAGAAGAAGAGGAAGAAGAAGAAGAAGAAGAAGAAGAAAAAGAGGAAGAAGGGGTGGGAGGTGTGTGCCCACTGCCCGACGAATTTCAAAAAAAAAAAAACAAAAAAAAAACGGAGGTGGGTGATGGTAGGAGTAGGAAGAAGAAGAAGAAGAAGATGGAGAGAAGAAGAAGAAGAAGAAGAAGAAGAAGAAGAGGTAGGAAGAAGAAGAAGAAGATGATGGAGAGAAGATGAAGAAGAAGAAGAAGAAGAAGAAGAAGAAGGGGTGGGAAGTGTGTGCCCACTGCCTGATGATACACCGGAAAAAAAAAATGAAGTTGGGTGAAAAAGAAGAAGAAGAGAAGGCAATGAGAATGAGAAGAAGAAGAAGAAGGGGTGGGAGATGTGTGCCCACTGCCCGACGAATTTCCGAGATGAAGAAGAAGAAAAAGAAGAAGAAGAAGAAGAGGAAGAAGACGAAGACGACGAAGAAGAAGAAGAAGAGGAAGAAGGGGTGGGATGTGTGTGCCCACTGCCTGATGATACACCGAAAAAAAAAGACCGAAGTTGGGTGAAGAAGAAGAAGAGGAAGAAGAAGAAGAAGAAGAAGAAGAAGGCAGTGAGAATGAGAAGAAAAAGAAGAAGAAGAAGAAGAAGAAGAAGGGGTGGGAGGTGTGTGCCCACTGCCCGACGAATTTCCGAAAGAAAAAAAAACAGAAAAAAAACGGAGGTGGGTGATGGTAGGAGGAGGAAGAAGAAGAAGAAGATGGAGAGAAGATGGATATGAAGAAGAAGAAGAAGAAGAAGAAGAAGAAGAAGGCAGTGAGAATGAGAAGAAGAAGAAGAAGAAGAAGAAGAAGAAGGGGTGGGAGGTGTGTGCCCACTTCCCGACGAATTTCCGAAAAAAACACAAACAAAAAAAAACAGAGGTGGGTGATGGTAGGAGGAGGACGAAGAAGAAGAAGAAGATGGAGAGAAGATGGAGATGAAGAAGAAGAAGAAGAAGAAGAAGAAGAAGAAGAAGAAGA